ATGTTGTGTTTGCAACTAGCCAAAAATTATTTAGAAATTAAAAGGAATATAATTTATATTGTTAACTTGAATAATAAAATTGTTATAATATAGTTTATTACCTCTTTAATTTGAAAAAAAATTATTTTGATTATGGATTAGTTCCTTGATAAAATAAATTTTTATTTTATTTTAAATTCTGTATTATAACTATTCAATTTTTATAAATTTTTGTAAAATATAATCTGCGCTTTAACCCAAAATATATGTGGGGAAAAGCTCAAAAAATTCATGGAGAATAAAAAGAGAATATTTCCTATGAAATCTCCTATATTAGTGTTAAAATTAATATCATCCATTTTAAAGTCTACTTTTATTTTTAAAATGAATATAATCTAAATCAAAATGAAAATATGAATCACAAATTTTAAGAAGATGACGAGGAAGATTTTGTTTATTGAAAAACAACAAAAGCTATTATTATTACGGCGGATTCCCTTATGTGACACTGACAATTTCAACATCTGTAATTTGACAATTTTGAATAGAAATTAAAATATTATCAAAATATCTATAATATAGTGAGAACTTAAAACATGAATATAAACATGTTAAATTAGAAATTAAAACGTCTTTTAGGATTATAAGGTAAGTTCGTCTATAGAGGATAAGATTGACTGTTTTTCATCATTTATTGGTTGTGCTTTTAATTGTTTTAAAACATTGGGTTTTTCTAATTGGGTTTGAAAATGAATTGTTTTGTTCGGAGTAAACCCTGAATTCATATTGGCACAGGCGCGATAAATAAATACAGTAAGTTACCGATCGCGCGATTTGAGTTGAAAAAGTTAGTGACCGCGATTTTTCAAAAGCATTTAAATTATGTAATTTTTTTTTAAAAACACTAATAAATGGAAGTAATTATCTAAACGCCTTATATTTATAAACCTGTGTTTTTAACCCCACAGTTATTATTTTCATCCAAATAATAATAATAAATATAAAAATTGAAAATATGAATAATAAAACTATATAAATTAGTTAAAATTTTAATGAAAGTGAAATAGTCAATATATTATTTTTTTCCCAACAAGCTAATCCAAGATATAAATAGATTAAATAGAATTTTTTACAATTTTGATTAAGTTTATCATCAGATATAAATAAGATTTATATTTAATGATTTAAACCAAATAAATTTAGAAATTGAATGTTTGTTTGAATAAAAGGTTTGGTTAAAATGAAAAAAAAAATTAAATTTATTATTTAAAATTAAGGGCCATTATTTTATTTATTAATTTGAAATATTTAACTTAAAATTTAATTTGCATTTATATTTATATTAAGTTTATAATATTTCAAAATTTACCCTAAAATAATATAATTTTTAATGAATAAATTTTTTGAACTTTATATGGCCGGGGTGGCCTAATAAGTTATGGACATGTTTGGAAATAGAAGGACGCAGGTTCAATCCTGGTAAGGAGTATAAAAAATTTAGGTTTTTCTTCTATGACCGATATGTAAAGACATATGGTAAGATGAATTTCGGAGCTTAGAGATGACACCTCTGTCACCGAATGGCCTGGATAGCCGGGTGCTAAGGATACTTGTCCAATAAACAAAATGAAGGAGACAATTGAAATATAAAATAAAATGAACGCGCTTATTTGACAGATTAGAATATAATAGGTATTATTTTGTTTAAGGTTGATTTTTGTACTTATCAAAACAAAAGGTATTATTTTGTTTAATTCCTTTGTACTTATCAAAACAAATTTTTAATTTTTTATTTATATTATTAATATTTACATTTAAACGTGAATGAACTTAATCAAAAAAAATAAGAAGAAAAAAAAAATTTAGATTAAAAGTGAAAAGTAAAATTTGTATTTTTTTTTACATTATTTTAAATAGACTCTTTTGATTAACTTAGTTTATGAGCTTATTCAAAATAACATTTAATTTCATATTTATAAATTTAATTTTTACATTTAAACTTGTCAAAACAATACAATATAAGGTTCGTAACCAGGAAAAAAAACATTTTAGAAATTAAAGGTGAAATTTGTTTTTTTACGTTAAAAAAAACATTTCAATTTCTTTTTTATAAATTTAATATCTCATTTTAGCCTTTACTAATTTAAATTTTTAAATAAAAAATTTAATGTTTGTTTGAAATAAGTTCAAAGAACAAGTTTTATCAAAATTATACTCTATTAAACCACAAATTTCCCTTTTAATTTGTTAAATATATTTTGGAAGTTTGAACCCTCTATTGTATTGTTTTGATAAAATTCATCTGGTTTAAATAAAAGAAAAATAAAATAAATATTAGATGTAATAAAAAAAATTATATAGTAAAAATAAAAATTTTATATCAAAATATATTTAAAGGGGCCTTATTTTATTTTATAATTTTAAAATTATTCAAAAAAATTTATTTAACTTTAAATTTATTTTCATTATTTATATCATATATATAATATTTAAAAATCTATTGTCAAATAATTTTTTATGATTAAATTTGTTCCCATATTCTTTTTGTTATTGACTTTCATTTCATTCTGCGACTTCAATGGTGATTAAAAAATTTTTTTTATAATTCATATAGAAAATAAATATAGAAAGATTATTTTAAAAATATGAATAATTAGTTAAAAACTGTCTTGATCGAGTTCTTTATTATAATTATAAGGCAGGTGCTTATCAAATAAATAAGTTTTAAAAGTATCACTGCTTGCTATTATGTATTAGTTGATTAATTTCAATTTTTTATTGCTTTAATTGTTAAGCCAGGTAAATGCTTTAAATATTACAGTTATTACTAAAGATTTAGTATTTAATTTTCCATATTAGTTAATAAAAAATATCTCTCGATTAATGAAAAAAATATTTCTTTTTTAAACTTTAATATGATTTATGATATTTAATGTCAATCTTTGTATAACTTTAACCATTCAATTGTGTCACAATATACAATACTATACATATAATACAAAATATATATTTTATTGATCTTTGGTTAATTAATTCATTCTTATTTGGTTATTATTTATTTATGATAAATCAAGATAAATTTATGAACTTAATGCACTTGCGTAGCTACGAAGAGGGAGGGGTTTAGGATTTGGACCCATCCCAGAGCAAATTTATTTTAGATTATACGATAAAAAGACTTAAAAGGTGACGTTATATCTAACAAAGCCCATGAATATTTATATTTTTTCTGATTATATGTTTTGTGGAAGGATAACTATTGAAACTCTTCTGGATAGTATTATTATAAAATCTTTGAGATTAATCTATTATATTATAATAACATATTATGATGCATTTAAAATATATATTTATTATATATTATCGAAGATATGGTTCCTTCCAGAGCAATAATTCCAGGACTTTTATATTATAAGAAAAACAAATATGATTTTTAAGATGAACCCGGCCGAAGATCAGGCAAAAAGGCCCTAAGGCCCGTTAAAGGTGACCCCTCTAAGAAAAATTCCTAGCTACGCTTCCGACTTCAAAATAAATAAAAAATGTAGATATATCCTTTAAATAGAAAATGATAACGTAAAAATATTCATAAATATTAGGTAAAAGCCCTAAATCAAAAAATTATATTGTAACTATCTGCATCGATATTTTTAATAGGTTTACTTTCTTTAATTTTTTTTCTATGTTATATTATTCATATATAAAATTCCTCAAATTGAGATATATTCCCCCAATTTGCATAGATTTCAAGCTGTCAATTACATTCATCCTTATTTATTATGATTGAACTTGGGGTTGCAATTTTATTAAACCGGTACGATCTTTTCAACAAAGATGATGATATTAATTTTATGTTATTTTGGTGAATATTGGGAAGGCTAAGTTGGAAAAATTTTAAGATATGGATAAATTTTATTCAAACAACCTAAAATAAATATAATTTTTATCTATTTTTTTAAATGAACTTGAAATACAGTATAAAACTTTAGATTTATAATATAGATATCGTAATTTTAACCAAAATATCTTTCCTCAACTTATTTATAACTCTTTCTTATATAATTTCTTTCTAACCATTCTTATATCTCTAGTTCTCAATAATATTTTTATTTTTCAATTTTATTTCATTAACATTGTTCTTAAAAATTTTTTGAAATAAAATATTTTATTTATTTAATTTTATAAAACAAATATTAATCTATGTAATAAAATTATTCAAAAATACATCTATCTATATAATTCATATATTAGCTGTAAAAAAAATATATTACCATTTTTCTTTATTATTTTATAATTCTTTTTTCGAAATCCACCAATCAACAATAAGCATTATTGTTGATTGACTTCTATATATTAAAAAAATATTGTAATTTTTATTAAAAAAAACTAGAACAGTAATGTTTGCAATTATATTAAAAATGTACTATTTATTCAACAAAGATGTGCAATGATATTAATTAAGTTATTTTTGGCATTTGAATTTGTATACATAGATATGGATAAATTTATTTTAAACAACCTATAATAATAATTATATAAATTGGATTTTTCTTTTAGATGAGCTGAAAAGTATATTATTGAATATTTTATTTAAACTTTTCAAGAAGAGAAGAGAAGAGAAGAGAAGAGAAGAGAAGAGAAGAGAAGAGAGAGAGAAGAGAAGAGAAGAGAAGAGAAGAGAAGAGAAGAGAAGAGAAGAAGAAGAGAAGAGAAGAGAAGAGAAGAGAAGAGAAGAGAAGAGAAGAGAAGAGAAGAGAAGAGAAGAGAAGAGAAGAGAAGAGAAGAGAAGAGAAGAGAAGAGAAGAGAAGAGAAGAGAAGAGAAGAGAAGAGAAGAGAAGAGAATTTCAACAAAGATTAGTAATGATACTAATTTTATGCTATTTTAGTGAGTTTAAGTTTTTATTTATAATTTAAATATTTACAAAAAATAAATAGAAGAACTTTTTTTTAAAAAACTATCATATAATCAGTTAGAAACTGTTTAAATTGAGCCCAAAGGATATGATTTATTTTTAATTCTAGTTGCTAGGCAAGGTAACTGACTTCAAATATTACAGTTATTGTTAAAAGTTTGGCATTTAATTATCCATATTAAATATAAATTCTCTTTTTTTTATCGATGAATGAAAAAAATTAATTTTTATAAATTTTATTATGACTCTATTTAAAAATCTATCTTTGAAGTTTAATCTTGATAATTTATGTCGATCTCTGATGTATTAATAATTTTTTAAATTTGATTATCATTTATTTTATGATAAATCAAGACCAAAATGTTGAACAAGGTAAATAGAAATGATTATAAAGAATTATTTAAAATATTGGCTCAAATTAATCTGAAGAATTTTATAATGTCTGTGTTTTATGACGAGTTCTAAGGCTGAGGTTTAAAGTGCTGATAAATTTAGGGTTGCCAATCAATAAATTTAACACCCACTTCTACAAGCCAATTCACATATTAATAACTCATTAAAATATTGACTTAAATACATCTGAAGGATTATAATGTCTGTGTTTTATGATGAGTTCTAAGGCTGAGGTTTACAGTGCTGATAAATTTAGGGTTGCCAATGACAACAATGACTTCAACACCCACTTCTACAAGCAATTAAAATATTACATATTAAGAAATAATTAAAATATTGGCTCAAATTCATCTGAAGGATTTTTAATGTCTGTATTTTATGACGAGTTCTAAGGCTGTGGTTCACAGTGCTGATAAATTTAGGGTTGTCAATGACAGCAATGACTTCAACACAAACCTTCTACAAGCCTAAATATTAATAACTCCATTAAAATATTTATTCACAATTTGTCTAGATCTTTTAAAATAATAAATCCATAGATTTTTCACAAGAAGTCTTGTCACCTCTATTTCAACGTACACATCGTATTTAAATGATTATGGCTTTAACTTTTTGGATCCATTCTAGTTTTAATCTTTCTTTCACATTTACCCATCACCTCTAAACTCTTAACCTTTATTTCCTGTAAGATTTTTTAGCTGTTTTTATCTCTTAAACTATATAGGATCATTTGTTGTATTATAGAACTGTATCTTTTTCATTTTAATTTGTAAAGAATTCATTCGGCGAAGAGCACTTCTGATATATTTCTCTACCTCGTTAACTTTTAAACCATGCTTTTCTTGTATATCTGCTCAACTCATCAATCTTTCCTTCAAATCATCCTTTGTTTCAACAAGTATAGCTAAATCGATACCAGAAATTTAAGGTTATGTTAGAAGGGAATTGTATTTGCCCTATTATTTTGTGGAGATATCAATGCAAAAGAAGGGCAGGCGATAAGGGGTCTCCTTATTTTATGTTATGATTATCATATTATGTGTATTTTAAAAGAGTTGGGTTCGAATAGCAGGGATAAATGTATGATGTATATTATGGATATTTGTTACAAAGGGACAAGGTTTCTTATTTAATGAAGACTATTTTAATGTTTAAATCTTTACATTCATAGTTTATTTATTTTCCTCTCTACTTTATCATCATAATGAATCTTAATTATTATTTATTAGTGGCTAGCAGAGTTGTTAATCTTTTTTTTTAAATATTTTCTCGTACTATTGTTAAATCACCAAAATTTAGCCAAAACGATTTCTTCAAGTTTTAACCTATGTTAGAATAAGCCTGAAAACTATTTAAGTTTTTTATGATAGATTTTGATATCCTCAAAATATTTTTGAAGGAGGTCTATTTATCACTAGTGCGTTGTTATACCGCTCTATTATAAATTATTTTTAAAAACGTCTAACCATATTTTATCTAGAAAATATTCATGTCTGAAGATTTTGCTTATAGATAATAGATGACACAAAGATTAACATCTGTTAGTAAAATGTCGATTGATTTTAGCCCTTTTTTAAGATTGTTTCAAATCGTGACGTTTAATAACATCCCTTATTATTACATTTACTAATACCTATTTAGAACAGCTATTAGAATTTGAAAAATAAAGAAGACGAGTCAAAATATAGCCTTGAAGTTATTATCTCTTTTAGCATTAGGCTAGGATAAAATTTCTAGAATTTATTGAAATATTATATTATGTACATTAAATAATTATTGAATTTGGTTTAAATTATAAACGTTCATATTTGTAAATAAACAAATAAAATTAAATAACTCACAGTTTTATTAAAAAAAATTCATTAATGTTATATATAGCACCCATACCATCATATGATTGCAAACTCACATTATGTCATTTATCAAAAAAAATATTTGCATGCTTTAGTGAATTAATACTAATGATGTACCTCCCAAGGACTAATTTATGTCAGGTCAGGCCTTGTTAGAGATTAAGTGCCAATCGATAGCATGTTGTCTTAACCCACAATAATTTTCTGGTTATAACTGAAAGTCTAGGAAGTTACAATTTTCCCTTTTTGCAAAAGTATGGATCATAATCTACTTGTGACGATAAAGAAAATATACGCAGCATCATCACATTCATTAAATTTAAAATGTTTTTTTAACGGATTTAAATTCCGAATAAATATATCTGAAGCAGTTTTTAAATGCTAAAATAAATATAAAATTTTTCTTTTAAAAAAAAGAGTTTAAGATTAGATTAATTTGAGATTAAAATTTTTATTTATAATGAAATGAGGTTATTTTTATTTAATTTAAGATAGTGTTATTAAACGGCTAGTTATGAGTCGATTTTAACAACGGTTAGCTCAATATTTTATCTAGAATAGTATTACACAAGTTTGAAGATTATGTTTGTAGAAGGAACCAAAGTTTAGACTTCTATTACCAAATTCTCGAGGGCTTAAGCAATATTTTTCTGGCTAAAATATTGATTTTTAAAAATCACCTTAGTATTTAACACCATCTTTTTATTTTAAATAAAAATTAATCTTCATATTATTCATCCCACAATGTCTTTAATAGATATTTTCTGATGTCCTTATCAATATTTTATAGTTTTCTGTAAAATATATAATTCGCTATACTTTTATTAAGATAAATAAATTAAAATTACTCACTTTATAAAAGATTATATTTGATATATTATATTATTTAGCAATTTTATGGATCTATTATTAATAATTATCAGTGTTGTAAACGAACGAAGTTCGTTTTTTTGAAAAAAATGATGAACGGCGTTCTTTTTATTTTGTTCCTTTTTTATGACGAACGCATCCGAATTTAACGTTCGTTCAATTTTAAAAATTTTTTTCTTTATTTGAAAAATTTAATATTTCCTAATTTTTTTAAAAAATGTATTACTTATATTTTTTAATCGGCTGTGTATTTCCTTTTCATATTTCAATTTTTTTAACACATAGTTTATTAATTTAAATATTATTGTTTATATTTTAATTTAATAGATTAGCATAAGCATGAATATTATTATTTAATCCTTATCATCTGATTCTAATAATCCCAGATGAATTATCATTACTATGGCCAAATATGATAAATGTTTTACATTAACATCCTATAGTGAAGGAACTAATCCAATGCTTACCAAGTGTAAAATGTGGTCAAAAAGTATTATATTGACAACACCACTAATTTGAGATTCAAAAATTATATTGTGATAGTTTGTTATATTTGGTTGTTAAATGATATTTAAAAATAATTAACTTTAGTTTATAAGTTAATTATTTTTTATAATTATTTGCCAGTTGCCATATAAATTCATTCATAAATATTTCTATTACTTATTTTCTCTACCTACTTCCTTACTTTAGAAAGACAAGGAAAAAAAGGTATAATATATTTTCATGGCAACTAACAAGTATAAGAAGAATATAGCCTGATTAAATGGTGGATAGTTATTCTGGAATAATGACAAATTCGGAATACACTCAGATTGTTTCGAAGTTTCTCCATTTTAAACAATTATCTGAGGGCGTTTTTTTTAATTTTGATTAAAATATATTTTTACCCGAAAATAAATTCCAGCATTTAAAGAGATATGTTCATTGATCTAGATTGGGTCAAAAGTTCCGATTTATATCTTTTTCTGAAAAAGTTTTTACTTATCACATGCTTAAAATTATTTACGTTAAAATCGGGAATTTCAAATTAAAACAATCTTCATAATAAAAAATTAGTTTAGAATTGAGAAATTTCGAATCACCGGGTTTCGTCCTTATTCTAGATTGATTTATAGCATAATACTTTACTTTTCTTTGTTTGCTGTCGTAGACAAATTGTCAGTTATTAAGCCATTCTTTTTTTCATTTTAGCTAGATCGCTTCTAATGATTTGGCCAAGTAATGTTATTACAATACTAAACGTTACCAATTTATTAGTATTGTTGAACAACTCAAGATTTTTAAAAAGGGCTAACTCATTTTATCCAGGAAAATATTATGCGGGCCTAAAGATTTTGCACATAAATGGAACATAAGATTGGACATCTATTGGCGTAATTTGGACCCTTATGCAATATTTTCCTGGCTATAATATTGAGTCAGTCTTTTTAAAAAATCGGCTTAAATCTGGCCTTTTAACAAGACTATATATATTAAACTCTACCAAGACGAATTAATACTACGTTAAAAATTCAAAAAACGTAGTTAAACTGGATGCTGTTAAATGATAATTTTTTTTAAATTTAATAATATTAGAAATGATTAATGTGTATTCCATTTTTTAAAGTTCTATTAGCAATTTTTTAATACTTTATTTAATTATATGTAAATGTATGTATACATTAAAAGAATTTCACAACTAATTATTATAATAATAATATTAATAACAACAACTAATTATGATAATACTTAACATTGTTGCATATATAATTTAGTGTATGTAAATTAAACAATGGATTTAAACATGTATTCCTTATATTAAATATTTAAAGTAAACATGCATTCAATCTATTACATATATTTCATCCTTCTTCTTATCTATATTAAAGGGTGATAAATTAATTTCTTATCAGTTCTGGCTAGTGACCTTTTCATGAAGGCCAAATAGGGTCGATTTGGGTTTACCACTACATTTAGTAAACGATATCAGTGTCTTCATTTATTTTGTTTTTTGAAGTGTTTTCGACTATCATGGTATAGGAAGATATAATATTAGTTTTGATTAAAGAATATAGATGGTATAGGTAGCATTGCTTTGATACGTCCTCTCTAGGGTATTTAATCTCAGAATTGTCAAATCTATGTATCGAATAGTTGATATGTCTTCCTCCATAACTAATCTTGCTTTAGTCAAAATGTCATTGGTCCTGTTCTTTCCATTTGCTAAGCTCTCCATCTCTCCGAGTATAATAGAATAACATTTTTTTTAATTAATAATTTTGTTTACAAAATACCTTGTATTCTAGACTTTGAAATGGTAGTGGAAGGGTATAAGTATTATCTAAAAATATTATTGGGTTATCCAAAAATTGTAAAAAGTCTTAATAATGCATTTCTTATTTAGTTAAAAATACCTACATAATTTTGGTGTATCTGGCCACTTATAGAAACTATTTATTATCACCTACTATATCTCTTCATTTAAATGTTCCGCTTACCCTTTCCTCGGGATTATGTATTTAAAATAAATTATACTTTATAACTTGTAATTCGATGTCTTCATTAACATTTGTCCAACAAATATTACCTTGGGCTAAAAATTTTCCCTGAAGAGGATTTATAGTTCTTAGTCCCCAAATATAATCCTGACTCTATTTGAGATTATTCTGTCATTGATAAAGCGGTATAAGATCCTTCATCTATAAATTTCGGACAACCGGTTTTTATGTAACGTAAAACATACGAGATTAGTGGGTCGTTTGTTGTTTGAGATCATATATCTTGCGCCGAGATAAATTGTGAAGTAACCGCTACTACTAAATTAAGTTTTAATTTTTCTACAGATTTGTCCTTTTACCATAATTTATACTTATGTTACAGCTTAAACGGATTGCGATAGAGATTATAATTTGTTCCACCGTGAGGAGCAACTTAGCTGAGTATTGCCTCGAGCAATTCAAAGCCAGTTTCTTCAAAAGATATTGTCTGGTATAATCTATTACTATTAGAAAGGAGGTAATCAACGGAACGAACAATAAATAGATAATTCCAATCTTTTTTGAGTGTAAAGGGTTGGTAGAGGCATGCACAGACTGTCTGAAGCCCTACTTTGAAGATTTTCACAGGTTTCATGTCGGACACAAATATATTATTAAAAGTATAAATATCCTCAATAATACCAATATCTTTTGTTACATAAAAATATCAATCAGATATATTGATGTCTTTTTAACATATTCATCTCTATATATATACAATTATATCAACATTTTTTTCGGCATCAATCTTATAAACTATTTTTATAATAAAATCACAATAATTTTTAAATTCAATTGTGTTTAACTTTATTTTTTAATATGTTTAAAACTGAATAAAAATTATACGTATAAAAATTAAATAAAATGCAACTTTATGAGAATATTAATTAGATTATAGAAATTATCATACTTTTACTTGACAGTAACGTGTAAAAAATACACATAATTTTAATTGTTTCTTAGATAATATAATATTTAAAATCAATAATTTTTTTAGACGGGCTCTCGGATCAGATTGAATCTAATTTTAATACCAAAGTGTCTATTCTGTTAATAATTTTCCAATATTTTATTTATTTGTGTGTATAGGTATATTTGCATCTTTTAATAATAATAACAATAACTAATAATGATAATACTTTACAAGATTGAAATATATAATGTATACTGTGTAAATTCAAATTAAACATACATATTCATTCTATTACATTTTTAAAATTGAACAGGGAGAGTCACAACAAATTATAATAGTTGTATAATGATGTAATCCATCATATGTATGTTAAAATATAAGAACATAAAATTGTGAAAAGTATTTTAAAAAATAGGTTATTCTTAAGAAAGGAGACTTCCATTGAAAATGATGTAATTGGATTTATGAATGACAATGGAAAGTCTTTGCTTAAGGCAAAAACTTTTGCTGGGTTCATTGGTTATTTTACGAATATGTGAACAAAGTTCCTTGAAGATTAAAACAAGGCGACCAAATGTGGTTAATGTAGAGAGTATTATAAGTATAAAAATGTGTTCTAGGATATTTACAAATATTTATTAATTTTGGATAACTCTTTGATGTCAAAGATGTTTTACCTTAGATTCGTAGAGTCTAGGAGATGGGTACAGGACAAACATAAATTGATCTTCAAAAAGACCATTAGGTTCTAGAATCGATTGATAGGCAGATTTAAGGGCATATTGAATAATGGCTATAATGATTATGTCTAGCAATACGCCATTTGAAAAATGAATAGCAGTGTTAGCAATGTCTTTCGAGTCACAGGAATACTACATCTTGGGCAAATGTGAGGTTGGATAATTGCCTAATTGAGATGAATTCCAATAAGTGTGTTCATTTTTGGTAAATTTTTATTGAAGATTAACCCAGAGCCATTTAGCAGTGAGGAAATGAGAAGATGATGTAGGGGTTGCATGCCTGATTAAAGGTTTGAGTGGCAGATAAAGGGGTGTCAACACGAATTCGAGATCTCCATAAGACTAATGACTCAGTGTATGACGAATCATCCACAGAAGAGTAAACGTTTACAAATATTTTTGTTAATTAGAAATTAGAGATAAAGTTGCTAAAGCAATTAGAAGGAGATCTGACGCCAAAACCGCCAAATTTGTTGGGAGAGAAATTTGAGCCCAAAAATTTTTCCGAACTTAAAATTTAGGATCCTTCGGTAAGGATTTTCGTTTCATATACATTCAAAAGACCAGGAGGATATTTAAAAATAGGAATAGTCCTTAGAGTGTAAAGAATGGGCGGTATATTAATATAGGTTTTTAAAAAGAAAAAAATGGCTTATGAGAGGAAAAGAATAGAAGGATATCACCCAATTTGAAAGAATCTCAAGGGTTGAACTAGGAAATATGTCGGCTGAGATGCCTCCAACCGGGTATCCTAAGCATAAAAATTGTAGGAGTTTATTTTGGAACATTTTGATTGGTTGAATTCTGATTTGCTTTGACTAAGAACCCTAAAGAAGAGCCGATCTCTAAAATTAATATAATATAGATATTTCTTTTTTTCTTCTCTCTAACTGAAACGGGAAATTGTTTACTTATCCTATTTGCCTATGTTCTCTGCTATTATTGTTGAGCTATATGTGTTTTCTAATGGAGGAACGATTAACCTTCTTTCGTTTATTGTAATTTCTGAAGTGTCTTTGGCTATCGCGGCTTTGGTAAGAATAATTTTATATGATAATATGGATTTCTATATTTTAATTAATACTTCCTTTCCTGGGCAGTAAATTTCGGAATCGTCGGATCTTTGCCTCAAATGGTTAATTTGTTTTAGCAATAGGCCGAAATTTATCTTAGCTAAAAATGTGATTGGTTTCTGTTTTCTAATTTATGATACTTGGGATGATATTAAATTAATATTTTATTATAATTATTATACCTAAGGTATTATTTAATTACAATAAACAGCAAGATTTACAGTAACAAAGATAGAAAACTATAGTGATGTATCTATGATTTATTACATAGATAAATCAATCTAAATACGATCTTCATTTTAACATACGTTTATTTTGGAAAAAAAAACAAATTAAAAAAACATATTATGGCTAAATAAAGATTAATATTTTTATTTTATAATAACAATATAATTATGTTGTGTAGATCTAAATCTTAGAAAAAAGAAATATAATTAAAAAGAAATTGTATGTAAAAAAATAAGGTATAAGAAAAATCTTGAATGACCTTTTTATATCTTTCCAAGGCGTCATGGGAAAAATCGCCATCTTATCATATGAAAAGTTCATCATAAATCTGGTTTATTATAATAATTTTGTGGGGTTCGACTTTTTTAACCGAGCTTATTTAAAGATATCTGGATCATTTTAGTCCGGCTCGGGCTTTGCCTTGATCTGAAGGTCGGTCTGTGTTACATCTATTCTATTTCATAAACCAAAACTTATTATTTTGATTATATTATTTCCAATCGTTTTATAATGATCTTTATTATTCAAATTTTCTTGGTTTATGAAATAGAATAGATGTAACATAGACCGACCTGCAGATCAAGACAAAGCCCGAGCCGAAAATGATCCAGATATCTTTATAAGCTCTGTTAAAAAAGTCGAACCCCAAAAAATTATTATAATAAACCAGATTTATGATGAACTTTTCATATGATAAGATGGCGATTTTTCCCATGACGCCTTGGAAAGGTATAAAAAGGTCATTCAAGATTTTTCTTATACCTTAATTTTTTATACAATTTCTTTTTAATTATATTTCTTTTTTCTAAGACTATTCTATTTCATAAACCAAGAAAATTAAAATAATAAAGATCATTATAAAAACGATTGGAAATAATATAATCAAAATAATAAGCCAAACCACGTGAAATCTTCAAATCTTAATAAATCCTTCAAATCCTGTTCAATTCAAAATTTTAGAGAAATTGTTTTTGCCTTATTCTATATTCAGGAATACCCCATTATCATTCTAAATGTCTTTTTTGTCAATTATTTAGTAAATTTTATCATTTTTCTATAAACTCTTTTATTTTATGTTTGATACATTTATTATTTATTTTTTAGCTATTTCAAATTGGTTTAGACGGGCTGATACCAGTGGTAATACTTCTTTATGATAATATTTTAGCAGTATCCACAATTTGAATTCTACAATGACCTGTCTGGGCCGTCAAGAATTTTTACACAAGTTACTAGGCATGGTCGTTAAAATTTTTTGTCCGGCTCGGTGCTAAGAAGCGTTAATTAAAAAAAATAATACCTTTCCCAGTGGCAATATTTGGAACATTTTTTTTAATAAGATTATTTATAGAAGAAAAAAAAATTCTAAATTATGCAATAGGAAATTGAATCAAATATATTATTTATTTATTCATCGTGTGCTTATAGTATTCACAATATTTTATATCAGAGTCAAACATTCTATCTCTTTTATTTCCCACTTTTTAATTTCTTAATTCGCTACCTTTATGCTAGTAATGGCATCGTTGCACTTTCTCCTATGAATAGAATATTTTTATTATTAAATAACCAACATTAATTTTTCTAAAGAATAACTCTGTTTCCCCTTCGACCTGATACATAACCTTAGTCTAGAATTAACACATCCTTATATATTTTGGCTTTAAGTATTTGTCGGCGGTTATTTTTTCTATTTTTTTTTCTTGTTTTATCATTCTATTTTTTTTATGTACGATTTGCATATCCGGAGAAGTGAAGAGAAGAGAAGAGAAGAGAAGAGAAGAGAAGAGAAGAGAAGAGAAGAGAAGAGAAGAGAAGAGAAGAGAAGAGAGAGAGAAGAGAAGAGAAGAGAAGAGAAGAGAAGAGAAGAGAAGAGAAGAGAAGAGAAGAGAAGAGAAGAGAAGAGAAGAGAAGAGAAGAGAAGAGAAGAGAAGAGAAGAGAAGAGAAGAGAAGAGAAGAAGAAGAGAAGAGAAGAGAAGAGAAGAGAAGAGAAGAGAAGAGAAGAGAAGAGAAGAGAAGAGAAGAGATTTTAAGTCATTTTTGGCATTTGAATTTGAATATTAGGAAAGCAAAATTGGAAATATCTATATATATAGATATGGATAAATTTATTTTAAACAACCAATAATAATTACATAAATTTGATTTTTCTCTCAAATGAAGTATATTATTGAATATTTTATCTAAACTTAGCAAGAAGCAAAAGATTATAGTTAAAATATAGATATCATAATTTTTTTTTATAAATGTAGGTAAAATTTAGTTTAAAAATTTCAATGCACAGTTAAAAAAGTAAAACAAAACAATCATAAAAATATATATTTAAAAGAATATTAAAATTATAATTAACACACTATTATATAATTAAAAGAAGGAAAATTAAAAAATAATGAAAAAAAATGTATAATGAATGCAACCTTTTCCCATATTTATTTGTTTTTCGCTTTCGTGATGGAGTTGGCAGGAAAAGATCTGGCAAAACGATCTACACATGTTTAATCCTTAGCTAGAGGTAAATATTGGTTCCAAGGGACTAGTGTCATACCTTCCGGTCTGGTTTAATTATCAAGGCTAAGGCAAGTGGGTTCCAGCGTATAAGAAATATTTGTGAATTTCAAGGTTCTATTGATAATTCAAATAATGGCATAGTGCCTAGGTAATTTGCCTTTTGTAAAACGACAGTGTAGGGGATAGTGTCCAAGTCTATCGATGTGAGTTTTACGTAGGACACATGATGTAGACGCTACGATTTTACAGCCTACACGAAGACATATAGCTATTCTGAGTTCCTCTTTGGTAAGTAACGAGCTTAGATTAGATTTAGGTATTTTCTAATCATCTAGTATGGCTTAGTTGTATTATTGTCATTATGTATAAATGGGGTTAGAGTAATAATATTAGGAAAACTAAGTTGTTAAATTTAAACATTTGGATAATTTATAATATATAAATTTGATTTTTCTTTTCGATTTAAGAAAACTATATTATTTAATATTTTATTTAAAATTTTCAAGATAAAAAAGATAATTTAATTTATATATAGATATCTTAATGGTTGCAATCCTATTAAAACTGTGAAAGAATGATCTAAATTATATCATGTTTAGTAAAGCTATTGTTAGTGGGTCTTGAAAAGCAAGGGAGATACGAAACATGTGGATGATTTTTTAAAAATTTCCACAATGTCATCTGAAAACTTTCAGATAATTAAAATTTAAATACATTTTTATTCATTCTAATTTACTATACAAGTTATATAATATTTATATTCAAACAAAAACATATATGACAATTACATTGATTATTTTTAAATATACCAAAGATAAGCAAAGAAACCAATTTATGCGTTTTGGATAAAGAATTCACGACTTTTGGCTTATTTAAATTATTAATATTATAAAAATTTTTGCTTACTTAAATTAATATATGTATAACTAATTTGTAATCATTATCATAAATTTTATTGCATTAATTTTAAGCTTTATATTTTTAATATTTGCTAATTTTATAAAAAGCAAAAAAGAAACAAAATAAAAATATGATTTAAAAAAGGTGATGTGGTAGTAGTGTTGTTGTTTTACTTGGTCGTAAAATTTACGGCCATTTTATGTGCTCAGGCCGACCCGGCGTTCAGACCTGTGGTCCAGACCCGCTACCACTGTGGAATTTTATAACTATCATTTTTCATAAACATTTTTTTAAAAAATATTTATATTTTATTTATATAGATAAAATTAAAACTTTTCACTAAGATAAAAAAAAATTAAGGATAATTTTTTTCCCGCGTATCAAAAAAGTTGAATATTATTTATTCATGTTTTCAGCATTCAACCTGCAAAAGATATTATTTAATAACAATTAAATTATATATTCCACAATTTTCTAGCATATTTTAACTCAGTGAAGTGTTTTATGAACGGTATATTCACTAATTTGATAACAGACCAAAATTTGCCAACCTTTCTTATTACAATTTTTTTTTATATTTCTTATATCATTAGTATAACTTACCCTTTGAAAGTATTGTTGTTAAATTACCCTAAATTTGATGATCGTCTCTATTGTAACTTAGTTAAGCTTTTAGCCTAAAAAATTGAATTAAGACTCTAAGTTGAGTGTTAACTTGAAGATTGACAAGAATATTTTTGAATAAAAACATGGCTTCGCAGTTTTATTGTTGACAAAATTTATGTAGTTTAACAACATTATTAGAAAGATAAATGGAAACAAATGTTTTTTCTCTCCCCTTCTTCCTTTTATGTAAAATAGTTGTTATCAAGACTTATATCCTAAATATAAAATATATATAGGGTGATCTATTACCTATTGGGGTTTGTTAACATAAAGTAAATCTTCTTTCTTGGTAGAATGACATTCACTTTAAAAAAAACTAATGCAATAACTTAGGTAGAATTAAAAGTGCAAAGCTGTTTCCAAAATTTATCAATTTTTATTCAAATTGTCCTTACATTGTAAAAGTTTTAAGAGTATGAGTCCGTCTATTAAAAACTTTATTTTTTTGAATAATTAAATATACTAAATTGATTCAATATTAAAACAAATATATACAAAAAAGCTTATGAGATCCTCAGTTAGCAGATTATTTGCTTTTAAATACTATACTCTGAATTACCTATTGGATATAATTTACATTTGATTATTTGTTATACTAAATATATCAATTTACATGTATAATTCTTAAATAAAGCATTATTATAGTTCTACTAGCTAATAATCCCCGTCTTAAATTACAACAATTATATATTTGTATAATTGTTTAGAATTAGAATATTTTTTTATATTTTATTGTAAGAAAGAATGGCGATTATTAAAATAATGAAATGGTCATTTTTTAGCAAATTGAATAAAAATAAGTTTTGAAAATTTTTTTTTGAATGTAGTGATATCTTTAATTTTTCGACTATGGTATTTAGTACATTTTATGATAGAATTTAATTTCAAAATATTAATAATCTTTAAATCTTTTTTATAAAATATTTAATATAGCTTTTATATAATTGAATCTAGTGTTGATAAGCAGCTTTTTTAAAAAATGGAATATCCAATATTTTAGCCAAAAAAATCTAACACAAGTCTGAAGATTTTGCTTATATATGGCAGAAAGGTTTGGAAATCTAAAGGCTTGCATAATAGTAATTTGATCAAAGTCTTATTTTAAGATTAGGCCCAGGCGGTATAACAGCGGTAATTGAATCTTTACATAAACATTTTATCAAATTATAAATGACATTAAATAATTATAATGTTAATTATCAATTATTTTGCGGCATTTTTATTGGTGCAATATTCTGGAAAGGATTTTAGGCGCCATTTTATCTTATTAAAATATATTTTAATTATGATATCTTGGTGTTGATTTCTGAATCTTTAAATAAAAGATATATAAACATATGATAATTTTTTTTATCGGATATAGGTTAATGATATAAAAATATATTCATCACATTTTTTTTCAATCTCGAAAAATAATTAAAAAGAAAGAATAATTAAATTTAAAAAATATTGACTTGTATGTTCTGTTAAGGGATAGAAATTCCCTAGGTTCAAGTGTTTGAAAATTGTAATATTTTTTAAAAAACTAAAAGTTATAAGAACGAATTATCTATAAATCCAAGGCTACATTGTCAATGCGGGAAAGAAAAAGTTAACGTTAGAATTAATTAAATCCCAGTTATATGTCAATGGCAAACAATAAAACTATGTTCTTCTAAAATTTTATATAAATAATATAACATGATTGGATAATACAATCCTTAAATTAATTTATTAATTTAAAAGTAAATATTATGACAATAAATTAATCACAATTAGTAAATAAAAATGTGGGTATGTTTGAACTCAAAATTTTTATTTCTAATATTGACAAAATCAGTTAGAAGGCTTCTTCCAACAGACAGAGACTGTCTATAGCTATCCGTTAAGCGAATTATAAAAGTTTCTATGGCTGTCTTCTCTCCACCTAGACTCTAACTCCTTCTTCTTTATTTTTATCATTTTACACTATATTTCACCTTTATGTTATTTAATTATGGAATTTATTTATTTTTATCGTATATCAATTATGTGTTGACTTATATTAATACGAATAATAAGAATAATATATTCATGATCAAAAATTCACAAATGTTATATCAAATCCCATAATACATATCTATGTGAAATCTTTAATTCCAATGTTTTAATATAAATTCGAATAATAAATCACAATATTAATTTTAAAAAAAATCATATAATAAAAGATATTATTTTTGAATTGAGGCTAGAATAGAATATAAATATATAATATGAAGAAAAAAAATGTTTATTAATTTTAATATCAATAATTCACAAATTACCGATTAAAGAATGATTGGTAAGTTAGAAACTTGTCGTTAATTTTGATAAAATATTTCAAGGAAATATATTTAAAATAAGCAAATTTTATTTTTTAATTTAACTTTAGTTTTAGGAAAAGTAAAAGATGTCTAAGTATTTTTGAAGTGTCTATGCTAATCATTATATTCCAAAAAAATTATACAAATTTGAAAATAAATTTACTTGATCTAATTGGTAATCTATTAGTATAGAATTCCAGATAGATGTTTTGATATTTAGGACTGGACAAGCCATTTTCTCGGTCTCTGTTATTTAAGATATAAAAATTTTTTAAAAAATGATAAATAATTTTTTGCACACTTTTGCAAAGTAATGAAAATGTAAAGAAGCATAATTTATGCATAATCTATTGTAAGCAGAATTTGGAACCTAAGCATTTGATGATTATGATTTCAGTATTATAATAATTTAATAAAATATTAATATCTTAGTAATCAGTATAAAATTTATAGTAAAATATAACTTAATTTGAATGTAAGTATATATTTGTTTCCAATACTTTAATTGATTTGGGACATTAGTTCTAATAAATGATTAGTTTATCTTTTTGTTAGACCGTTCACACTTCAGATTCTTGAACATATTATAAAGGTTTTACTTCGGTTTTAGGTTCCTCTAGATTTTAGAGTGTGGGTGGGGCGTCTGGTTCTTATAATTTTTAGATATGTCCCACTTATAGTTCTTGATCCACTGATTTTATGATATGCATTTGATGTAACTTTTAATAACTATTTAAGAGCTATTGTAAATATTCAATTACATTGAAATACTAACTTACCCAATATTCATTGCCCTTCGTTGTATCAACGGTTTTTGCATTATTTGAATCTTTTATAAAGAATATAAATATAGAAATTATATAAGTATGGAAAAAAAATAATAACAATATATAGTAATATTTACATTCCTAAGTTCATCAAATTATAAACTTTGGTTATATTATCATGTTGCTTATTTGGATCCTTTTGATATCAATTGGTGTCCCTTTATGCATTAAAGTATGAAAGTTTATTCGCTTATTTTTTTTTGTTTCCAAGGCAATAATTTTATAATTACGAACCCTTAGTTCAAGTGCCTTTCGCAAACATAAAGTTGTACCAATTTTTTGATACAGTGGTCTTTCAAATATTCGATTTTTTGGATTCAATGGTCAATAGAAGAATATAATCTTTCAGCAATTAATAAGGTAGCTCTGGGTACATGTGTTTGGTCAGGCAACATGTGAAATGAAACCTGACCAGTAATATAAAATAATAATCCGAAAAGGACCCCCAGAAAGAAAAAAAAACCAATAATAAAAAACCCCCAGAAATGGCGTAATAATAACCCCTTTCCAGAAAAAAAACTCTGGAAAAAATTAAAATTCAGGAAAATACCAGAAATTAAACCACCTCAAATTTTAAAATATCAGACCATAAGTAAAGGTTCCACGTCATTACAGAGAAACCATTACAGAGAATGTATTTTACAGAGAAACCTTTATAGAGAAAACAATAATAGAGAATGCACTTATAGAGAAAACAATTATAGAGAATGTCGTTTACAGAGAATGATTTTACAGAGAATGTTTTTATAGAGAATGATTTTATTGAGAATGATTTTACAGAGAATGATTTTACAGAGAATGATTTTATAGAGAATGTATTTTATAGAGAATTATTTTATAAAAAATTTTATTTAAAGAATATGATTATTTTATAAAAAAAATTATTTAAAGAATGTGATTATTGTATAAAAAATTTTTTTTAAATATGATTAGTTTATAAAAAATGAAATTTTTTTGTAAATTTATGTGCTCTGCATAGTCAAAGGGGGAAAAAATTTTATGAAATATTATTAAATATTAAAATTACCTTATATAAGCGAATTATTGGGCAGTTTTTTGTAAGAAAATTATTACAACCGGCAAAATATTAAGAGTTAAAATATAAAATTATAAAAACACTATTTTCGAATTTTAGAAAGTTTTATAATCTTATA